CCACACTGACGGACATAACCCTCTCCTGCAGCCACATGCAGACCCAGCTCCAGCACACTGACACATAGTCACATTAGCTAACAGTTCACCAAGTGACTTTCAGTCTCACACTGACATCGTCACATACAGACAGTTTCAGAGACAGACAGACAGACAGACACACACACACACACACACACACACACACAGTCCCTCAGTCACTCTGGGCCCGTCACAACCTACACTACTCTGCCCCGCCCCCTCCTGGCAAGACTTCGTCGTCTACACCCGCCGGCCCACACACACACACACACACACACAGTCCCTCAGTCACTCTGGGCCCGTCACAACCTACACTACTCTGCCCCGCCCCCTCCTGGCAAGACTTCGTCGTCTACACCCGCCGGCCCCACCAGGCCTCACCTTCCGCGGCCGCCGCCGCCAGCGCCCTCCGCCCTCGCCCTCTGCCCTGGCCTCTACTCCCTCCCGCCTTGGGCCCTGGCAGTGGGAGCGGCTCCACACAGGCGCCAATAGAAGGAAAGGGGTGAAATAGGGGGGCTCCCGGCCCATTGGAGCCTCCAACTGCCAATCACGTCCACCCCCACCTCCGCCGGACACTTCCTGTCCCGTCCCGCACTGCACTGAGAAGGCTGCGTGGGACAGTCTGGAGCTAGATTCATAGGTCCTCGTCTGAAGGCCAGACTTTCCTGAGGCGGCAGGACCCTCCTCCACCCAGTTCTCTATAAACAAAGCCTCAGGATCAGAGCTCAGGAGCAGGTGACTGGAGAGGCTGAAGGTGCCCCTACTCCAGATAAGATAAAGGAGGGCTGGCCTAAGGTGGTAGTTCTCAAACTTTGCTGAGTATTGTGTTTTCCAAATAGCCAAGCATTGCCCCATACCAATTAAATCAGAATCAATCTCTGGAGGGGACCTAGTGTTGGTATTATTTTAAACTCTCTAAATGATCCAAAATGCAGCCAAATCAGAGGTTTAAGGTCAGACACGTGCATCCTTCTGTATGGAGTGCATGTGCACCTCAAGAAGCTAGCCAGTGTGCAGCGATAACACAGTGCTGTGACATTGGTCCTACATGGGAAGGTCCCAGGTTCACTTCCTGAGGTTTCCCAGCACATACCAGGCATTGCATGTGCATGCCTGTGATTCACACCAGCTGAGACTTGGGCTGGATAGTGGCATGAAAAACTCTTGAGAGTGCCTATCCTTCCATCTCTCACTCAAATGAGAAATAAACAAAAAGAAGAAGAAAAAAGGAAAGAAACAGCCAGCCAGCCAGGGCCCTCATCCAGTCCCTAGTCACTGGGGTCTCAAAGAAGATAAGTATTGTCTGCCTGGTTTTCTAGACCAGAGCAACACTCAAGGCTCAGGCACTTCTCCAGTGTCTCAGGGAAGACAGATCCTGGACTGGAAGACAGGCAGCCAACTGTTTCCTGGGCTAAGTCCAGTCACTGTCCAGTCTCCAGCCCCACCAGACTCAGGTCTCTCAGAAAAGAATAGACACCAAAATGTTCTGTCCATCCCTGCATTAGTCACAATTCCCACCTTCACCTAAAATGTTGGAGGATTGGACCAACCATGATGGGACAGGCAGTAGGGGCACTAGTACACCATGCTGGAAGCCACTTAGGAAGGCACAAGATTCATGTCCTGAGTCTACTTGAACATGCGGGAGTGCCCTTGGTGCCACCACGATCCTGACTGGCTGCAGGGCTTGGGCGAGGATCGTGGTATAAAGACCCATTGAGGATGTATCTCTCTCTCTCAGGAAATAAAGCTTTAAAAAAAAAAAATTGAGGATATCAGGTAGGCATCAGGTCTCCAGGGTGACACTGCTTGTTGTTCTCCCATGGTCTCGTAGTCTTGTCAAAGAAACAACTCCAGGGAAGGGTGTAGATCCAAGGTCACTCTGAAAATCATGCCCTCCTTCCTGCCAGAACTGTTTTCTGTGCCGTGCAATGATTGGGGCACAGGGGCAAGAGAGTATGTCACGGGCTTCTCCCTGTATGGGAGCCTGGAGAAGCCAAGGACACAAGGCCATGTACACGCTCCCTACCCATCCATTTAGCCCCTTGTGGGCTGGAGCTGAGCCAAGCTGCGGCCACTCACAAAGCCAGGGTTCTGGCCAGCAGCCCAGGGTATGGCCACTGACCACTGAGACAAGGATCCTGCTTACCAGCTCGCCACCAAACCCTCAGGCCCAGGCTTGGTGAGCTGATACCCAAGTGTAGTGGTAAAGGGCCTCTGACCTTCCCAAAACCTCAGCCACTACCAACAACACAAGATTTTAAAACAGCTTGGAATGCCTTTATACTAAGAGTAAGAAAATCTGTAGGCCAGACGTAATACTGAATATTAATTTTGTGCAGAAATTTGGGGTATAGGTTACCATGGCCTACTGGTTAAGGCAGTTGAATCCCACATGGTTGACTGTTCAAGTCCCAGTCCCAGAGGTGTGAAAAACATGCCAAGTACATGGGCAAGCATGCCTCAAATCCTGATAGAAAAATGGAGAAGGGAATTGCAGCATGACCATGCCCCACTGGGGAGTGCTTTCTCCCTTTCCTCCTCTCTTCTCTTTCTGGTGAGCATACCCACTTTCTGGCAAAAAAAAAAAAAAAAGTTCAGCGATTTTGGATGGAATTTCTGCATCCAGTTTTTGCACATATATACAAACAAAAGTTGTGATTGTTCTGTGCCTTTAGGCATTAATTCCAGATCCCTGAAGGTTAGAGTTCATACTCCTCTGGTGTTCGAATATGTAATTTAAGTTTAAGAAGCAGTTTTATTGATGAATATCTGCCCAAACTCAGGTCCCAGTTCCTTCAGGCAGAAGTCAAGGCCCTGTGGTCAGCGTGGTCAGGCGATGGCTGTTGTCTCCCTGTCCTGCCCCAGGCGGTAATGAACCTCAGGAAGTGCTCTTAATTTTTCTGCAGCCTAGAAGTGGAACAGGGGATCAGGGAGGATAAGGCCACCTAGAATGAAGGTATGGAGTTCTGAGCACACAGAAGACAATGGGGAGGGCCTGTGGGTTTGGAAGATTACTGATAAGGACTGGAGTCACCCGAGGATGAAGGAAGTGAGTAGCTTCTGAGTGAATGCCTAAGAATGCCAGGATGTTATGGGGGTTCTCAGGGGGACTGTTGGGGTCCCTTGGGGATGTGGGAGAGAAAAGGGGACCTGGTGACCCAGGATGCTCTGAGTCCTGACCTGCTCAGGAGTGAGATCCCTTTGAGCCTGAGCAAGCATTTCGTAGCCAACCATGAATTTCCGGACAGTGGCCGAACGTAAGAGTGGAGGGTAGTAATGAGCATGCAGTTGCCAGTGGTCCCAATTGGCCCCAGCTTCTGGTCCAGTGGGAGCCCCTAACAGACAGAAGGCAGAGATGGTGAGGAGAGACCTTCCTCAGTTCTTCAGCCTAGTCTTGCCCCAAACCAGACCAGACACCTAAAAAACACACCTCCCAGCCAGAGAGGAGCCCAGGTATCAGACAGCAAACTGGAAACATTTTACCGTTTGTTGTTCCAACCTCAGTCCCCTCATCCCTGCTTTGGACGTGAACCCCAACAAGTGTTTTAGGACCTGAACCCTAGGAGCCTCAGGAGCCCAAAAATGGTGTCAGGGTCAGATATGAGAACTCAAAAGCCTCACCATGCCAGCCCATTGAGAAGCCCCATGTGAGCCCATTGAATAGGGAAAGGACGTCTCAAATAGGTTGTCATACTTGGTCAAAAGCTTCTTCATGATAGAGGCAAGATCTGGAATCAGAGCCTGACTCTTAGCGTGGGGCCCAGAGGCTGCCCATACCAGACCCACACCCATCCAGTGCAGCCCCAGGAGACTCGCCATCACGCTCAGCTGGAGTTAGCTCAGGTAGCCGCCGTACATGCCGACGGGGCAGCATCAGTGTCTGGAAGGGCCACACTGCCCAGAAGGGGACCAACACTATCCAGTGCTCACTGGTTAGGACCAGACGCTCCTGGGAAGATGGAATGGAAAGAAAGTCATCAAGACAGTGGAGCAGGTGAGCAAAGAGGATAGGGAAACAGAAGAAAAGAATGTACTCAGAATCTGAAGGATTCTCACCACCTCCACTACTACCACCCTAGTCTAAACACCATCATCTTTCCTTTAGATTATTGCTAGGGTTTCCTAACAAGACTCTCTGCGAGTTCCCTTCTACCCTTCTCCTTCACACACCTCCCTCTTTGAGGATAAGAAAATCAAGAACTCCTTAGTGATGTAGGCCCTTGCTCTCTCCCACCTTCCTGAGTAGCTCCTGCCGGGCATATTCCATTAGCAGGGGCTCTCCATGCTGACTCTGATAGGCACGCTGAGATCGCTCCTCCTGCTGGGGAACATTTGGCAGGAAACTGCTGGCCCACACCTGTCAAGGGATAGGAGCAGAGAAGAGAAGACAGACAGGTCCTTACCTCCAACCTCAACATCACTAGCATATTTCCTTTGTTCCATCCCTTAATCCAGTTCTCTTTCTCAAGGTGCCGGCTTGGATCCAGCCAAAAAATCCAGTGGATACATTTACCTGGCAGTGAGGGTGGGGGTTGGAACAGCCCATCATGGCTCCTTTGTTTTCAAAGATCTATCAGGTAGGGATAAGGAGCTTTAACAGCCAAAAGACACCAAGTCAACCACCCCCCAACCCAGGCCACACCCTGTAGAAACAGGAATGCTGCTCTCCAGACCCAAAGCTGCACCACCCTCTCCCTACCCATCCAGAAAAGGGCATGACCACAGACCTGCACCCAAGGGTACTGGGCACCTAACTCTTCTGTGACTGAAGCCCACTCATCGACGACAGCCCGGATCTCAGGGATTGACATGAGTGGCAGCGTCACATCCGACCAGGGGTGGAAGCACATGACCTTACTAGGTGGTAAGGAGAAAAAGATAACAGAGAAAAAGGGCTTGGCTGTGCTAGGGACAGGACCCCACCCCAGCGTTCAGTCTTCAAGCCTGGGATGAAGGAATGAGAGGAGAAATCTATAGTTACCAAACTCCTTGAGCAGCCTCCGCTCGGAAAAGGGGGTGATCACTGGGTCCTGAAATAAAGGGGTATCATTCTCTGCAGCAGAAGTCCCCAATCTAGCCTCCTCCCCCGCCCCCCTCCCCATGTGCTTAGAAGCAAGTTACCTGGACTGGGGGCATCGGGCTGCAGAGCTGGGAAGTCGTTGTCAAATAGATATGTGCCACTGTAGTGGGGATTCACCTACTGACAAAGATAGGCTAGAAGCATGGGCTACCCTATACCACTAGCCATCAGATGGGCTTCAGGGGCTGGTCAGGCTACAAGACGGTGAGGAAGGCCCATTCTACAGGACAAAAAAGCTTGCTGACACATGATCCACGAGGTCTACTGCCCCCCTGGGCAAAGGGGTTCTAAATGGGCCTTTCTCCCACTAGCCCGGCATGCCCATGCGCCCTCTACAGGCTTACCTCTCCATTGGCTCGTCTGGCCCCTGGACACAGAGGATTGAGGGGGTCATGACGGGGAACTGTCGGCAGAAGCTGGGGCTCCACTTGGCCCTGCCAGGGCCGCTTCATGCGATGAGCTGACACCAACACCCACTCATCTTGCAGCGGGTTGTAGCGGATATGCTGATGCTCTGAGGACAGACAGTAGAGATGAGTGAGCAAAGCTTTCTGTCCCTCTCCCCTGGGTCTCGTCCACCTGCAAGCTCACGCTCGTGAGCGCCATCTCGGCTCTGACCTACTCAGAAGCTACAGGCCCGAGTCGACCTCTCCAGCACCAACTGGCAGCCCCCACGCGGGCTTCTCTCCTCTCCCCACAGGCCCAGCTCCGGGTGGGAGCACCAAGCTTGGGTTAGGGACAAGAACTTCACAAGGAAGGGGAGGGCTGTGCTCCGCGTCACAGCGAGTCGGGGCTGCCCAATTACCACTCGGCCTGAAGGTTGCTGGCGTGGCGTCGACCTCTGACTCCGGCTGGCGCTGCTCAGAGCCGGTTCCGCTGCGCGACATTGGGCCACCCGGGGGTCGTCTGGAATGCCTACCCCGCCGCGTTTCACCCTTCTATTTCTCGGCCTGACCTGGCCCGCCCCGACCCCGGACG